AAGAAACAACAAAAAACAAAAAATCCCGACTGACGAGAATCGCTGTGTCATCTGATACCCTTGGGCATTTCCATTTCTAGACCAGTTGTAAGCAAAACTTTTTGACTTTTGACGCCATGTGAAAGAGGAACATGACGGTGGAAAAGTTTCAAGGTTATTCTCAGAGCTTGCTCTTTTGACAGTCACTCCTGCAGTTTCACTCATGGTAAACATAGTTTTAGTACGAATTTTACGGCACTTGCAACGCTGTCAGGTCATATAAGCAGTGACGTCGGGTGGGTTGTAAAGAGGGTGGGGCTTGCCATTACCAAACACTGAGATCACTCAGATAATGAAGGATGCATAATGACTGAAAAGACAGTGAAACACACACATATAAAAAGGCAACATGAAAATTTAAATAAATTCAAAAGTATTACAATTTTGTTAGTAGCAATACCATGTTTGAAACCAAGAATGTGGACTCACGCCAATGCGTCTTTACACAAACATATACGTTGTGCACTTCGGATTTTATGTGTGGCGTAGCAAATTTGCTGGTGACTTTTTAATTGACCGATGCATCCTTCATGTGTTCCTAGTCTCTTGATAGTGGGCTTAGCTTCACGTAATACAGAACTGAAGTGAATGTTCAATAAGTATTCTACTTCAGTGGCGGTGGGTAGTGAAGGGCTCATGGTGAAACGGCTTCGTCCCCACCATCCAGAAGACCGAAGAATTTAACTTAGAACAAAGAGATGGAAGACAAAGGTGACTCTTATCGTGTGAATGGTTTTCAAAATGTCGTGGCTCACTGTGAGTATAGAAAAATCATCACCGTTTAGTTATTATTGCTTGCTTTTTGGTGGTAAAGAAAGGGAAGCAACCTAAGCCCCACCCAAATTTCAATCCCCCCACCGCCTCTGATTCTACTAGATACAATGCTACATTGTAGAACAAATATTAGATTCCAGTTCAAAACTACACCAACTCTCTGATACAATACAAAAGGCGCTTGCTTCATTGTTTGTCTAATCTCCACACACAGAACACAAGTGTACACAGTACACACTTAACCCGCTCAAAACTTAATTCAAGTTTAGGTCCTAAACACATTACACACTCAATCCAAGCGCACTGACGCCATCACTTAACTGTAGAAAAACACACAGGGCCGAGGGGAAAAGGGAGGGTGGGTAAGGGTGGGG